AAAATCCTGACCCACATAATCTGGTGGAAGTCACTCCTACAAAAATAAATGATGCCAAAAATGGTAAAGAAGTTATTGAATATTTTAATATATTTTATCTATGATGTATTAAATGTTATTATATTCCTAATATAAATATCTATTTTTGTTGTATACTATATTCAGTAAATATTTTATACTAAATGGATTTATTTCCTTAATATTGTTATATACTATTGTTACTTGTTCAAAACGTTCAAACCCAATGAATGAGCTACTTAGAAAAATAAGACACTGATAAATTTTCATGTTATTATAAATAAAAAATATTAACACATAAACAAGAATATTGAGTTGGAAGCAAACTTGAAGGAGGTAGTAAATGATATTAAATTCAAATTTTTGGATATGGCCCTTACCTGCTTACATGAAGACATAAGTTGGCGAATATGTATTGGTTTGAACGAATTTTAAACCCGATTTTATGTTTGAATTGTTTGTTAGTATATCTTTTTTAGTTCGAGTCTTGGGTTTTATTTTATTTTGTATTTTGTTGAGAGAATTTATGCATGACTCAATTTTCATGAATTTGGATAGATATAAACGTAATAATTCTTTTAAAAATCACTATTTCAACGAAAACATTTTTAAAATTACCTTTTTTAAGTGACTTTTAAAATTGCATTTTGAACAAGTTTTTTTAAAAGTGATGTTTTGAACTTAAACAATATTTATTTTTTTACAATATTTCATAAGTGTGCGACATTTAACGTTTGTACAACTAATTTTTTAACATATATTAATACATGTTATATACTTAAGGACAAACTTTTAATATTAACTACATCAACATGTCCTGTAATTGGTTTCAATTTGTTGAAAGTGAGTGTGAGAAAACTACAAGAAAGTGAGAATTAAAATAATCAATGAAATTGAAAAGCAAAGAACATTATTTTTTCAATGTTTCTTTTCTTGGATGGATCGGATATCCAAATTGATATATTCATTGAATTATATTCATTTAAATCTATCGTCTCTCTAATGCATAAATTTAATTTTCTTAGATTTGATAAAGTTTGGATTATGGATAATTTTGTTACTTACTTTCTTCTTTTTTTTACTTTCTTCTTAATAAGATGTTACTTATAATTTTTTTATTGAGTCAACCTTACAATATTTTTCTTATTAACTTTATTTATTAAAAAATGAAACACTTTATAAATAAGCATTTAGTATGAAGGATTGTGCATTGAACACAATGCATTATTCTAAGAGGGTGAGTTATATTATTGGATGTTTTGTTTTTGGTTTGGTAGGTTTGTTGAAAGAAGTGAAAGGAGAAAATGCATTACCAAAATGTTCTTACTCATCAATTTACAACTTTGGTGATTCAAATTCAGACACAGGAACCACTTCTGCAGCATATACAACTATTAATCCTCCTAATGGAGAACTCATTCCTGGATTGATTTTTCCAACAAGAAATTGTGACGGTCGTCTTATCATTGATTTCATTAGTAAGATCATACCAACTTCTATATTTTTCAACATTTTCTTCTTTCATCTAACACATTCTTATGTTTTAATTTGGTGTCACACTACAATTGTAATGCTTTGTGGTCACTACAAGTACAATATTGCAATCACATATGTGATATAATCCTAAGAAGAATATAAAAAGTAAAAGAGAAATATAGATAAAAATATATCAGGCTCATTCATGATTGCATATAACACTTTGACATGTAAATTGTAAAAACTTTAATTTGTACATTAAAGTCTCTCTCTCTTTCATTAATGTGTTTTTGAATATATATGTAGCTGAAAATTTGAAGCTACCATACGTGAATGCATATTTGGATTCAATTGGATCAACCTACAAGCATGGGGCAAACTTTGCAACGGGTGGTGCCCCTATTGTTAAGGGTCCTAGTCCTTTCAACTTTGCTCTTCAAATTTCTCAATTCATACAATTTAAATCCAGGGTACTAGCTCTCTATAAAGCAACCAATTCTGGTTAGTTTATCATCCTCTTATTTTTTATTATTATAAGCAACTAGATACATTTTTGCTACTCTTAATTATTATTATTCATGTTCTTTAATTTATGAGTTAATTACACTAATACCCCATAAGTTTTAGTGAAATTAGACAAATCACCTCCTCCCTTTTTTGTCTTTACACGAATCATCACCCCTCTTACACGAACCACCCCTAATTTTGTACATATATTACAGTTGACCACCCTTGATGAGGTATAAGTGTGATATTTTAAACAAAAAAAAACATGTGATATGATATGCATAGTTAAGTTAAACAAAATATTGTATATTGTGTAGACAAATCCAAATAATATAAGAGTCAATGCATCTTCATTATTTGGTTCATTACAAAATAATATAAGGGTTATATAAACATCTCATTAAAATTGTTAATATATTCTGTAATGAAACAAAAATAATAAAAAGACAATCAATTTTATACTATTTGGAATTGTTTACTCAATATATAATATTTTGTTTAACTTAATTACACTCACCACACGTTTTTTGTTTAAAATATTACACTTATATCACATCAGAGGTGGGCAGTGTAATATATGTATAAAATTAGGGGTGATTTGTGTAAGGATAAAAAAATAAGGGATGATTTGTATAATTTTTTTTGTTTAATTAACTCTTAATTTAATGTTATATATTCCTTATTCTCTCTCTTTTTCTATGATATTAGATCCAATTATAAGAGCTAGGCTACCCAATGTGGAATTCAATAAGGCTTTGTACACAATTGATATTGGTCAACTAGATCTAGCATATGGTTTATTCACATCAAATAATGATTATCAAGCAATCAATGCATCTATTCCTACTATATTGGCCAATTTCTCTCAAGGAGTGCAGGTAAACATGCAATATTTAAATTAAATGCATTACACTAGTTAAATTGTTTAATTATAGAAGATTATATTGAGTATTTTATATATTGAATAATGCTGATGTTATTGAAGTTGTGAATCTAATTTGGTATTTTTAGTTTATGCAACAAATTTTCTAGGTTGATTTTTGATTTTGAGGACGTGAGTGAATTTTTTTAATAAGGATTAGTTCCCCAAATTTTGTGTGTTTTTGACTTTATTTTTACAATTTTTTGTTGAGTTCTTAAAATATAAAATTTGTAGTTCTTTTAGTTTGTATTGTTAGCTAAGAAATAACATCCACTTTCATGTGTCTTAATAACAATTGTTAACATGACAAATGGTATCATTGACATGTTCAAAATGTTTTAAAATTTTAAGGACTCCCACTACATACTTTTTTAAGAAATTAAAACATAAAATGCACAATTATTCTTCTTTGACTAAGAATTTTATCAAATATAAAAATAACATGATCATTGTCAGGTTTATAGCTAATTAACAAAAGACAAATGATACCAATAAAATATTGATCTAGTGGTGCAATGTTCCATTAGATTCACATGATAATAAAAAAATTAAGGGTTTAATTTATGTTAGTGACATTTTTCGGAGAGACAACCACACACCTCAAAATAATTAATTCCTTATATCTATAGTGAGAATACTCTTAGTAATACAAAAAAGATATGTTATTCTTTAACTTAGAGAGGATTAGAACAAATTGTTTTAAAATTTTAAGGACTCCTACCACATACTTTTTAGGAAATTAAAATATAAAAATGCCCAATTCTATATTGACTAAGAATTTTATCAAATATAAAAATAACAACATGATCATTATTGTCAGGTTTTTAATTTTATCAAATGAAGAGTCTCTAGTATTTAATTAACAACATGATGAATTTTGGTTTCTAAACAGCATTTCATAATTCATTTATTTTCTTTGCTAATACTAATAAACACTTTATCTATCAATATCTATGGTTTTTGTTTCAGCAATTATACAATGAAGAAGCTAGATTCTTTTGGATACATAATACAGGATCATGGGGATGTGTACCAAGAACAAACAAAATGTATAAACCAACTCCTAAAGACACAGATTCTGCTGGTTGTAGAATATCTGAAAATCAAATTGCTCAAGAATTTAACAAGCAACTTAAGGACCTTATTGTTCACCTAAGAAAAAAGTTCCCTGTTGCAAGGTTTACCTATGTTGATATCTACTCAGCCAAATATGAATTAACCAAAAATGCAAAAAACCTAGGTAATTTTCCTTCCAAACTTTATTATGATAGGTACAATTAGGGATGACAATGAGGTCGGGTACGCCATACCCGTGTCCATACTCATACTATTTGTGGGTATCCATGCGGATAGCCGGTTTCTATGGGTACCCAATGTGTTTTCAATTTTAATTATATTTTTATATATTTTATAATAATTAATATTTAAAAATAATTATTACTTGAATAATATGATATGAATATGAATTATATGTTTGCATTGTGTGATTGTCAGGTTTTGGTGATCCAATGGAATTTTGTTGTGGAACAATAGAAAGTGGCATAGTGGATTGTGGTGTAAATACAAAAGATAAGTCTCGTTTATGTAATGATTCATCAAAGTACATTACTTGGGATGGGATTCATTATTCTGAAGCAGCAAATAAGTTTGTTGCTAATAGAATTCTCAATGGTTCCTTATCTGATCCACCACTTTCTCTCGACATGGCTTGTCATTCAAGTTAAACCTAATATGTACCCTCAAAAGTAATAAAACAATTATATTATATATATACTATTAAAGAGTTTTCATATAGTGATTAAAGTATTTAAATACATTTATTGATTATATTGTGTCTGTAAGGACCCAATTTATACCCTAAACTTTTTCGTCCAATTATTATTAAACATGCAAATTCTAATAATCAACTTTCCGCTATCTATATTCAGGAATTACATACTTAATATAATTACGATTAGATTTCAGTAATAGCAAATTAATCTACCAGAGTACTTTGGGGTTCATAACCCATAAACTTCACATTTTTAATTTCCAAAAAGGGAACTCAGTCCCCACACGCATATCAATCATACATCCCATCCCTAAAAGCGTAATTACAAGTCAATTCGTTCAAATACTGGATATAAGTATGTGCATAATACAAAACAGCACATGAGTATCCCAATTACAAAAAAATAGATAAGAACTAAGCTACGACATCATCTGAATCCGCTAATCCTTAGCTTTACCTGTACACCGATTATCACGAATGGCACCATCAAGAAACAAAAGGGAGTAAGACAACAAATTCAAGATAATCAGTATAGGTACATCGGAATAGGATAATAATAATACAAACATATACATATATATATATATATATATAATTCTGTCAGTAATATAATTCGATTGTTAAGGTACACTAAACTATCAATCTACCATTTATCAACCACATTTAATAGCAGTTATCCCAATACCACGCAGGGCAAGTCTATGCCACGAAGGCTAATCAATACCACATAGGGCAAGTCTATGCCACGAAGGCTAATCAATACCACATAGTATGCCACGAAGGCTAATCAATACCACATAGGGCAAGTCTATGCCACGAAGGCTAATCAATACCACATAGGGCAAGTCTATGCCACGAAGGCTAATCAATACAAATAGGGCAAGTCTATGCCACGAAGGCTAATCAATACCACATAGGGCAAGTCTATGCCACGAAGGCTAATCAATACAACTTCCATATAATGACAATCATCACTCTATTACAATAATAATAAGTCCAATATGTTTACCTTTCACATTATATCATTAAGTATGGAAACACGTCTCCCTTACCTTGGCGTGTGTTGGCGTTTGACGGCTTGTTAGTATCTACTCCGCTTCCTCCAACCTTAGGGTCTTTACCCATTCACACACACAAAAACATAATCAATAATATATTCGTAACATCCCATTATAACTCATTTTACATGTTTCAACCACGAATTAACTTATACTCCGATGACTCTCGAAACTATCTCTATCGAGACTCCAAACATGCATTCATAAACATTTAACCCCTTATTCCACATCATCAATCATAAACCACAACCCAACTTAACATTTTCACTCCATTTCCTCACCATTTCTTTTCTAGGTTTTGGGGTTTCTTGCTATCAATATTTTTCAAACACCATCTCCAAATATACACTCTATACTACGAGTTTTCAAGAAATAAGTTAACTAAAACGAACCACCACATCAAAGGAGAGAGTTATGGTGTTTTCCAACTCAAAGAGAAGAGACACCAATAACCATAATGAGTTTCTAAGTAAGGAGAAGTGTTAAAATCAAGAGGTTTACCTCTTCTCTAGCTCCTCTTAGCCTTTATGCGAGCTCTAGCCAAGAAATCGCTTCCTCTTCTCCTTTCTCTCCAAAACCCTCTCCCATTTTCGTGTTTGGGGATCTATTTTAGGTTTCAGGATTTTAGATTCTCGCCCAAGCGAGAATACGTCGCCCAGGCGAGAAATCTCGCCTTTTTAGATTTTCAAACACTGATGCTCTCGCTCAAGCGAGGGCTTCTCGCTCAAGTGAGAATCCTTCAGTGTCAACACACTCTCTCTCGCCCAGGCGAACCACATTTCGCCCAAGCGAGGTCCCCAGATAAAATTCTGGAAGAAATACTGATACCCTCGCCCAAGCGAGACTTTCTCGCTCAGGGGAGAATCAGTCAGTAGCTCCCAGACTGACTGAGTTTCACCATGTTCCAATTATCAAACTTTTAGGGAGTTACAGTGTCTTATTTCTTTATAATATATTTTAAAACGAAAACTTTTAAAGAGAATATAAATAAGATATATGTCAAACAATAACATAATTTAGGAGATAAATACTCTCATGGTCTAAGAAGATACTTTATTTTGTTTGATAAATGTCACTTTATGCTAAACTACCTTCTCTCTCAATGTTGATTTTTACAATTTTTGGAAATTTTAATTTTTCCACTAAACAAAACAAAAGGAAAATGCTAGCTAGCTAGATTATAATTGAGGAAGTAAACAAACACAAACACCGTTAATTTAGTGATGTAAAGTTCTACTTGATTCTCAGAAAGATCAAATGGTGAAAGGTTCAATTCCTGGAAGTGGCAAAATAACAATTTCACATTCCAAAAGAGATTAGTTTCTTAACCAATAAGTGATAGATATCCACTAGACAAGGTATTTAATTGTATTTTCATGGAAATAGAGGGGAAAAACTTTATGAAAAAAGGGTGGTTCAATTCTATGTTATTAAATAGGGACGAGTGTGGGGTAAGTTATAAAAACTATATTAAATTTGTGATAATTAATAATTACCGCTCTATATAGACCAATTTTGGGGATATAAATAGAATGTGAATTCAGAAGTAATTAGTCCAAAGTCCAAACATGAAAAAAAAACTAGGTAGGGACTTCAATATTGGGTATAAAGAAGTTCCTAAAATATTTGAGATGGCACCTCAAAAAATTAATTTGCGGTATTTATGTACATGTTTCAAGTAATTTCTCTTCTATTAAAAATCATGATTTTAAATATAGCCATATAAATATGATTACAAAAACTATCAAAATAATAATATAATGATCATAGTTATGGTTGATCAAGGACCCCAAATCAAAACGCAAGTAACACAACACAATGCTGAGACATGTTTCATGGATTTCTTGAAGATATACAAAGGGTTTGTTTGAAAATACCAAGATGATGAATCACATAACAAACTGAACATATATATATTATATACCATTTTTAATTATATCCATACTCATACTATTTGTATCAAACTACCATGTGGAGCCTCCAACTACTAAGAAGTTCCATTGTTACCGAGTATGGAACATTAGTTTTATGAGTTTTTTTTACTTATAAACTTTTTTACTCATTCACTCATATCAAATGCGGGACTTCACATTTGAATAAACCCAGTACATACATAATCACAAAGATTGAGGACAATGGTGATATCTACATATGCTTAAGTTGTTTTAGAGAAGAGAGGACACTATGTCCTACATGAAACCATTTTATTCTGATTGAAGCAAAACACACAGCTACAACAATCTAAAACAGGAGGTAGTAATATATGGAGTAGCACACCAAGCCCAGTTGAAAAACTTCCAATAATGGCTCTTCTTACTTGTCACACAAGAATGAACAAACTCTGATTCATTATTTCTATTGATCAGCATCTCCCACATCACACGAATATCTTCATATTCACATGCCCTCACTTCATATCTAAAACAGAAAGTAAAGACTACAAAGGAGAATATGTATATACCTGAAGGATACATGATGTAAGATTCATAAGATTAAGTATTCCATGTTTCAACTACCTTTAACCATCGTGGGAGTTGAGATTTATAAATAAAGATGACAAATTTGAGTCATTATATTATGCTCCCTATTCCTAGCATTAGAAGAGTTTTTTTATGCTCTCAATGTATTACTTATCACGTCGTTGACTTTTAAATATAAATATTACAAAATTAATTATAAATGCTACAATACAAAGATATTACACTTATATTTTCTCTTATTTTTTTTAGTATTATATTAAATTAATTTTAAATGAGATTCATAAATTTGAGTTTTTTATAATTAACATTTGAGTACCTAGGAGTATAAAGCTCTCCTAACTTTCATTACGGTAATATTAGATTCTTCTAAAGTTCCATGAATACATTGATTATAACAACAACAAAATGTAATCATAAAAGGAAGGGGAGAGATTTACTTAGTTCAAGAAGAATAAGTGAAAAAAACATACTCTATATTTTAATCATCTAATTTTAGAAAATAACGTATTTATCAATCCCCTGAAAGGAATGATACATAAAATAGTGTAAGAAGTTAAAGGTTTTAGTACACTCTCTTATCTTAAATCATCATCCATGAGAAATGTTGCTTCCTGTTACTCACTCTTTCACTTTCTCTTCTAATTCCACATTTCCATTTCCTAACATTCTCCTCCAAAATCGAACTCGAATCCGAACCCGAATATCTATTATTCGGAGCTCGGCATCGGAAACTCAAACCCTCCCCAACTCCGCCATCCAACGCATCGCCGAAAAGCTCCGTTCCCTCGGCATCACCGACGACAACGTCGCCACCACAACTCCTCCTCCGACCACCGCTGCCGGAAAAATCTTCGTCCCCTTACCACACCAACTTCCCAAGCACCGAGTTGGCCACACTATCGACTCAAGTTGGAGTACATTCGACAACCCGGTCCCGGTTCCGGGCACTGGAATCTCTCTACTGCGGCAGAATGAGCTTGCCAGCGCTGCAAAGCAGCAGAAGAAGAAGGCGGTGGAGGAGAGTAGGGCTCCGACGCTGGCGGAGCTGAATTTGTCGAAATCGGAGATTCGGAGGTTGACGACGTTAGGTTTAGGGTTAGGGATGAAGCAGAAACTGAAGGTTGGGAAGGCTGGGATCACAGAAGGGATCGTGAATGGGATTCATGAGCGGTGGCGGCGTGTTGAAGTTGTGAGAATTGTTTGTGAGGATATTTCTAAGTTGAATATGAAAAGGACTCATGATTTGTTGGAGGTAATGGCTTAACTTATTTGCATAATTGAAATTTGTTTTTTTAGGTTTTCATTGATTTTAGTATTGTGAGAATTTAGTATTCAAATCAACTTTATGGAGATACTTCATCGTTTGTTCTTTGTTATTTGCTTTTCATCAAAATAGCATATAATCTTTGTTATTTGGATTAGCTTAATTTGGATTTAAAACAGCTTAAGTTGAAGGGGTTTGGGTCCCTTATGCATTTGATTGATCCAATAATTCATGTATATGGAAAAAACAGGGTTAAAGTTGCCCTCGGCATAGGACACCTGACGAGATTAGTCTCTCGTCTATTTGGTGGAAGGTTACTCATAGACATCTATTGCCTCACTTCTGCATAGATGTCTCCATTTCATTATAGCCAATAACACTAGAACTTTCTATACACCTGCAATGTGATGTTGTTACCTCACATTGATGTGAAGAGATGTGTAACAAGCATTATTGTTATCTGATTATAGCTTCTATTTCTTTGTATTGTCAGAGAAAAACTGGAGGTCTTGTTGTTTGGCGATCTGGATTTAAGTTAATATTGTACAGAGGGGCTGATTATAAGTATCCTTACTTCATATCAGATGAAGTTTCGAGAAATGACAATACTGATGATGCTTTGCAACATTCGGAGGATGGTGATGACCAAAATAGTGATACAAGAGAGAGCCACTCATCAGAAATGAATTCAGTGACATATGCTGAGCAGAGTTCAAACTTCAATACAGCAAAACCGGCTTTAATAGAAGGCGTTGGTTCCCCCAATAAAGTACGATTTCAACTACCTGGTGAGGCAGAGCTTGCAGAAGATGCTGACCGCTTGTTAGTAGGGCTTGGCCCTCGTTTTACAGATTGGTGGGGATATGACCCTCTACCCATTGATGCTGATCTTCTACCTGCTGTCATTCCTGGATATAGGAAGCCTTTTCGCCTTCTTCCATATGGTGTGAGCTCTAAACTAACTGATGATGAGATGACCACAATGAGGAGACTTGCCAGACCCTTACCGTGCCATTTTGCATTGGGTGAGTTTGACATATTTTTTATTGTCTGAAAATATTGGTTTAATTGCCTTTTTTTAACACTTTTGTTTCACAGGTAGAAACAGGAAACATCAAGGATTGGCTGCTGCAATTATTAAGCTTTGGGAAAGATGTGAGATTGCAAAGATTGCTATAAAGAGAGGTGTCCAGAATACGAATAGTGAGTTGATGGCTGAAGAGTTGAAGGTCAGCTTTTGTTTTTTTGTATAACTTTATAGTTTTCTGAAACTTAGACTTACAGTTCGAATATTTATCTTAAAATATTTATCGTAAATGTTTA